GAAAGAGAAGCATAAGGATGAAGTGAGTTTACATATTCTTGTAGATTTGTTGGAGATATAGATGGAATAAGGTGATGATCGTTTAAATTTGATGAAATTCATCTATGATACTTTAATGGTGAAATTGTGAAGAAGAAGATTCACGATCGATGAGAGATTGAGAGTAAAAAGAGGGAGATGAAGCCCGGGGGGGGGGGGGGGGGGGGATTGCAATAAATTTGTTAATCCTATAATCCGAACATAATAAGATATGTAAATGATGTTGAGATTTAACAAGTGTGAATGGGAAAAGAAAAGAAAGAATATGAAAAGTGAAATGAAAAGTCATTTGCGTTGCAAAGTGCAAATGAAAAGTCATTTCTCCCATATCGGCAAAAGAAAGGGAAATTGTTGTTCTTATAGAAGGAAACACTTTCATTACTTCCTAAAGAGCTAAGAAGAAGATGCCCCCTCGCGCCATCGTCGCTCGGCTTCGGATGTGATGTGAATATTAACGGTTACTTTCCAAAAAGTCGTTATTTTTCTAAAAGACACAATTTTCAGAAAAGTTGTTATTTTTCCAAAAGACACAACTTTCTGGATAAAATGGGTCTGAACAGATTTCACTGAACAGACATATTTCTTGCTGAAAATGACTATAAAAGGAAGTCAATTTTTGATTTTTTTAAATACTGAAAATTTTTCCTTCTCTGCATTTATTTTTCCTCTCAAATAAAAATCAAAGTGTCGATCGACTGAGTCTGTGTGACTTGTTGTTGTTCTTAAGTTCGTTAAAGTTAAAGAAGTTTGAGGTACCGCTATTTCTTTAACAAGTTTAATCTATTTTATCTTGGGAGAAATTAATCCATAACCTTGGGTACAGTGAGGGGATTAAATTTCTCAAGGACACACAGTAGTTTCTGTGGACTCGGATTAATTCTTGTATTTTATGTATTTTCTACTTCATCTTATTTCTGTTTCTGTTCATTGGTTAACCTTATAAATACAGGTTAGTAGATTAATAACAAATGACATATCTTAACTAAACTAAGGTCATATTATCTACGATCCATTTTTTTTTAAATTTTGTATTTGACTTATATGACATTCAAATATCTCTAACGCACTTGAACTGTGTGGAGTCAAGGATTGTGCCACATAAATCAAAAAGTGTACAAAATTATATAAAAAATGAATTCAGAAGGTAATAGATTCTTAGTTTAATTAAGGTCTGAAATTTCGGTTATAGTTTAGGAATACTTATGTCTTATCCTTATTGGTAAAAAAAGGATTAAACTATTACTTTTAAACTTAAAATAACATTTTAAAAATTGTGTTAAAAACTTAAAGACTAAATTTTATATCCCCATTAGTTTTTGAACAATCTCTTTTCAGTTAGAACACAGTCAGAAGAGGAGGACGAAGGGACGAAAATTTAGGAAATTTTTAAAACTTTTTGCGTTTTTTTTTTAACTTCAAAATCGTTCAACTTTTTCAATTTTGTTATCTTTCTAGTCATACAAGGTAAATTTTCTTCCTCTTTTCTATTTCAAAATATTAAAACATCATTATTATCTATCTATGATATTTTTTTTGTTATGTTGCATTGTATTTGTCTTGTTTGAAGTTGAAATTAACTCAAAAAAAATATTTAATACGTAAACTCGAATGCATTGCATTTGTGTTTTCTTCTTAGTCGTACAAGGTAATTTTTTTTCTCTTTTCAATTTCAAAATATTTAAATTAGAATTTTACAAAGAAGAAAATCATTATCATCTATCTATGATATTCTTTTGTTATTTTGCAGCGCATTTGTTTCGTCTGAAGTTGAAATTAACTCAAAAAGATTTTTAATCCGTATAAAATTATTTTGTGTCAATGAATTTAGTGAATCCAATTTAGTTGTTTCAACCAACAACTTTCGTAGATCGATATGTGGAGAACTACTAAAACTGTTTATAGTAATAATTGGGCATACCTATCGATACAAAATCACCCAACAATTGCATGTCAGTTGTTGGACAATTGTGTTCAGTTGTTGATCAATTGATTAGTTGTAGGATAAATAATATAATTATAAATGTTTAATGTACTATAATTACACATTTTTTACTGATTATAACAAGTTAATTCTATATTGTTTATTAGTTTTTTAAAACTATTTTAGTGTAGATATAATGTGTCAATATAAGAGGAAGAGAATTGGAACATCTTCATTCAATTCAGATGCTCGAGAAAATGCTAAGAGCTTAGTTGCTGCTAAAAAAAGAAGTACTACAATACTTCAAAGCAGAAAGAGCAGCAGTGACCTATTAGGTGAGGAAAAAAGTGGCGACCAATTCTTTGAGATGGAAGAAAATAACAAGAGTAGCAGTGATCTATTAGGTCAAGAAACAAGTAATGAGAATAGCAGAGCGACGGATATAAATTAAGTAGAGAAAAAAAAAAGTAATGAAAGTGATGGAGATTAATCTAGTGAAAAAGGGATGAAAATGAAAGTGAGCCATCAGATGAAAAAGAAGAAGGTATTGAATCCTCTCTAGATTATGTCAACATCATTTTCAATGGTACATATAAATTTAAGACTCACTTGAATGTGACTAGGTCTTACGATTCTAAAATTAATGCGAGAGTCGATTTTGCAGTTGAGTTCAGAAAGATTCTAATCGCACGAAATTTTGAAAATGATTGTTAAAAGTCTCGCTTTGATCACTTTTTGAAGTTGGATAAAGATGCAGCAAGGCAACCTCCAATGAAGTTAGTACATGGTCTTAATCTTCATCCTATATTTTTTGATGAAAAGAAAAAAGAGGTTTAAATTGATTATAATGGTTCGCCAATTTGTTTTGACATTACAGAATTCATTATTATTACTGGACTTCGATGTCATTCTCTTCCTTCTCTAAGCCAGCAATCAGTGAAATTAGAAAAGAAAGTGAAATTCGTTGTTATGACTGGACTCTCTACATAATTTATCTCCATCGCTCTCATCTTCTTTTTCTTTTTAGCTTGAATTTTTGTTGCGATTCTCGTCACTTTTTTCTTCACCTAATAGGACACTATTGCTCTCACTACTTTTTTCCATCTCACTAGATTATTTGTCGCTATTTACATCACTTTTTTCTTCTCCTAATAAGTCGATGCTACTCTTACTACTTTGAAGTGTTGGAGTACCTCTTTTTTTAGCAGCAATTAAGCTCACAACTTTTTCTCCAGCATTTGGATTGGAAGAAGATGTTCCAATTCTCTTCCTCTTATATTGACGCATTATATCTACACTAAAATAGTTTTAAAATTTGATAAATAGTATAAAATTAAATTAATAGGATCAATAAAAAATGTTTTATTGTAATACACATCAATAATTATATTATTTGTCTGACAACTAATTAACTGATCAACAACTGAACACAGTTGTCCAACAACTATTGTAGTTGTGGAAACAACTTATCGAGTCTCCTCCGACAACTACATGCAGTTGTTGGACCATTTTTCATCTGAAAGATTCTAGTCGTCCAACAACTACATGCAGTTGTTGGACCATTTTTCATCTGAATGATTCTAGTCGTCCAACAACTACATGCAGTTGTTGGACCATTTTTATCTGAGAGATACTTCTAAATATTCCTATAAACAACTTCAGTAGTTGTCCAGACACCTACGAAAGTTGTTGGCTGAAACAACTGCGATAATTGTCCATACAATTACGAGAGTTGTTGCCTGAATTTACTAAATTTGATTCATTAAATTCATTATCGCAAAATAATTTTATACGGACTAAAAAACTCTTTTGAATTAATGTCAACTTCAAACGGAACAAAAGCAATGCAAAAATAACAAAAAAAAAATAAATCATAGATAGATGATAATGATTTTCTTCTTTATGAAACCCTAATTTTAATATTTTGAAATAGAAAAGAGAAGAAAGTTTACATTGAATGATCAAAAAGAAGACACAATAGAAAAAGTTGAATGATTTTAAAGTTGAAGAAGAAGCAAAAAGTTAGAAAACTTTTCCCTAATTTCCGTCCCTTCGTCCTCCCCGTCCGGTCATGTTCTATCTAAAAAGAAACTCTTCAAAAATTAATGGGATATACAATTCAAGCTTTAAGTTTTTATCACAATTTTAAAAATGCTATTTTAAATCCTTAAATTTTTTAAAATAATAATTTCATCCTTCTTTATCAATATTAAAAATCAGAAAACAGAGAAAAGAATGAGGACCCACTTGTCCTTTTTCTTTAATTGAAAAATTAACCGGCAATTTAAGCTTATTTTCCCGTAACACACACTCAAAATAAGCATGTGAAAATTTATTTAGCTAATTTTTTGTTTAGTTTTCTCTTTTTTTTCTTCCCCATGTTTTCAGCCATTACCTAAACTCGAATTCCTTAACGAGTACTCTCAAACATATATATATATATATATATATATATATCTTATTTTCTTTAAAAAAAAGTCATTTCAAATTTCTTTTCATATCACTAGTAACAAAATCTCATGTCAGGCGCTTCAAAAAATAAATATTAATATGTGAACTAGAGTTGAAAGTACAAACTCAAAAGAATTAAATTTTAAAAAAACTAGGCAGCATGTGCATCCATACAAGAATCAAACCCATAAACTAAAGATACACAATCTACTACCATTTGGCTATCTTTCTTCTTTTTTGTTCGAAATTAGTATATATGGAAAAAAGTTTGAAAAACTATCTTATATATACTGTGTAATATTTTGCCGAGCAAATTTACACTCATATCTTACATATACCTTATAATATTTTGCAGAGTGAATTTACACACATCTTACATATATCGTGTAATATTTTATCGAGTGAATTTACACTCACGTAGATCCGACCCCTTAAGCTCCATAAATTTACAATGAAATGGCTCTTGTACTACCAATTCGGTTACTATAACTAAAGAGAGCACTGGAGCTCAAATTTGAATCGAAAAATTCTACCTCCATTTATGTACTAAAGTTTATCCCATTTTGTTTAGTAGTAATATTTTTGAGGAAACAGTGTGAATACTAGTGATCCCTTTATTGTACAAGTCAAATAGAGTACAGAGAACTATCAGAACTTCACAAACACTTCTACACAACAACTACATCACAGGGCAATTTATAGTACATTTGTGCAGCAACAGCCCATAAGACTACATCGTCTGCGTTGACGAAGCTCGAAGTCAGAACTGGAAGTTTATTCACTTTTACAGACAACCAACTTATGGACTACTCAATAAAAGCTATAATATCAAGAAGTCATCAGTCAATCAAATGTTGATGAATGGGATATTACTGGATGTTAAATTTAACATGATCCCATGCATCATGTCACAAAATGTCCATTATCGTATTTGATCCATCACGCCCTTCCTGATGTTGCGAGAAACATGAAAAAATGAAGCTTTGCAAGCATCCATAGATGATCAATCTTTCTTGTAAACCAGTGTTGGATAATCCGGACTCCACATATTGTTCTCCACGAACTCAGATATTTGTGCCTGCAATAGAGTTCCACCAATTAAAGTAACCAAGTTTTGAAATAATATTACTGTAGGCAATTACTACAACCAACAGAACAAACTACTCGAACGATCAAAAAAGGTTTAGGTTTTCCTAAGTGGTAGTGCAATAACACTCTGAGAAGCTACATCAGCGGGAAACCTTGAGAAATGATGGAACATGGTGATCCTAAAAAAGGAGAGCCAAACCAGTTTCAAGGTCTATCAATCTGTGGATGAAGGAGAGAGAGTGCATTAGGAGGGCTACCTAGTTATTTCAATTTCTCTCAGGAAGTAAGAAACAAAGTAGCACCTACAATAATGAGCATACGGATGGAAGAGGATATCTTTTATGATGATTATGCTAGCTGAACAGTTTTTTGTTCATTTCTAGAATTATAAAAGACGTAAATTATAAGAGAGTTGTTAAGATCCCATATGGTATAACACTTTAGCCAGCTTCTAAATATTGAGGTGATCATCTGCCAAAGGCATTTCTGTAAATATATAGAATGACCTTTTATGAAGCAGGTAATATGTGCAATAGCTCATCGAAGTGGAGCGTACTAATGAGTTCTAGCTTCATGCTTGAGTCCCTTTTTTGCAGATCCTTTTAATGTCCCCGTGAGTCACATCATCTGGTAACTGAAAATGCTCTACTTCAGATTTTGGTTCTTTTGTGCTTCATGCTTTTTATGCACAATAGTACAACAGGACTCACACACTGCTTATACAGTTCCCTTTAACCTTAATCGACTGTTATGTTTCTCTATTTCATTTCATACTACATCTTCTTGCTTCTTCTCTAAATACTATCACAAAACCAAAAATTCAAAGTCAAGCTAAATAGTAGAAATCAATCAATTTATTGGACCTTGTTAGAAGTCCCTCATCAGTTGTGGGATGGATAATTTGTATCCTTAAATGGTCATTAGCAGTTCTCACCTCATGAGCAAGCTCTTTTGGAGTTGGGTTTGTCCGAAGACCCATTTCTTAACATAGTATAGGAGTACAGATCCATCCCAGTCCTTGGTTTACCCATGTTGTCTCCCATGTTATATTGTCCATGCTCCACATCTCAAAGTCTTGGGCGTGCAGAGGATGGGGATAAGTGGAGCCAGAAGTCCCACATTGGTTGTGTAATAGATAATTGGTATCCTTATATGGTATAGGCAATTCTCGCGCCTTGTGAACTAGCTTTTGGGATCGGATGTATGAATTCTCTATATCTTGTTATATTAAACACCATTCCAATATTAAAACTATCTTCCTTATGAGGAAAATAGGTTCTCACGCACTTACTCCTGAGTTGGACTAGAAATCTAATTGTAGATTCGGACTTGTAGGGTTATGAGTAACTCGAATACATAAATTTATTTTGGAATTTGACCACGACACACGGGGTTGACCTTTTTGGGTTGACTTTGCTTCGACGGAGCTTTCAAATATGGAATCGACAACAAGGATTCATCTAACCTTATAGAGTATTCTTTTGAATAGATCAAGCTTAGTTGAGTATTCAGAGCGAGGAAAGGCGGTTTGAGAAGGTTAAGAGTTACTTCAGATCGAGGTAAGATAAGGCTTTGACCTCAATAAGGGAATTTCTCCAAATTAATAATGTTTTATGTATACTAATGTATATGCAAGTACCAAATATGTAAGATGACAAGAGATAAGAGGGTACCGGGGTTATGATTGTTATATGGGATATAAGATATTATTGTCTACATGCTTTACATGTTCTTTCTGTATCATCACAAATTTAAGTATTATAGAATTATGTTAATAGGCATCGTGTTTTTCATGCTAATTTAACATTATGAGTTGTGTACATGTTTGATGTTTAGTTGTTAGTCATGCATTGTATGAAACTTTGTAATTGCATACTTGATTTCATACTTAGATGTCACTACGACACGTCCGTACGAGTTAGCATGTGAGCTGTCCGTGCGGCTTGTACAGGCAGGATCATTGTGCTGCATCACTCGGATCACTAAAGCAGCGATGCAGTGTACACTCGGGATTATTGCACTGGAAGCACCGGTGTTGAGTGAAGGACTCAAGGTCAAATATTTTATCATACATCCATGATTTCCAACTTGCGTATCTGTGCATATCCTAATATGCTACATCTGTGCATATATTAATATGCTATACTTGCATACTTCATTATGATGTTATGTGCTTTACTTTTGTTCAGATTATAATATTATTTTGTCAAAAAAGATTATAATATTATTACAGGTTATTTAAGTGGGTATTTTTAGACCAACCTCCTTACTACCTTGTTGGGGCGGCCGATGCTATTTACGGCGTAAGAGTTGGTGTACTTGTGCTTACATCTGCTGCACTTTTGAGCCGTTTCTGACCCTAGTACCATTGGAGCTCAGGAGCGGGTCCAAGAATACTTGGACACTGTTGGGGAGAGCTGTTAAGCCTATTACACAGCATCTTGGAGTTCTCCCCTATCTTGTTTCATTACTGTTTTCCTTCAGACAGTATTTGTAATTTGACACCGATGTAGTATTATTCCATTAGACACTCATGACTTGTGACACCAGTCTTTGGGGGTTATTTTAGACCTTTCCACACTGCATTGTTTTTAAACTTATGTCCTTGTGCTGATTTCCTGATTTCAAACTTACTTATGCCATTTTAGGTAACATTGGTTGCATGATTATCGGGTTAGCCTAACAGGTAAGGTTTAGGTACCATCACGACTTAGGTAAATCGGTCCGTGACTTGTGACAATCCAATTTTAATTTTGTATATTAAATCTCTATCTATCATTGCAATTATACTAGAACAAAATGAACTTAAGATATCCAAATTGCCTGCATTTACGCACCAGTCTCATTTGACAATCATTCTTCATATATGCCTTCATTCTTATGGGAGCTTAACTTGCATTCTGACTTAATTCTAGCCTATTACGAAATTCTTTGTGTCCAGAGGGTTGAAACTTAGTTGAATCCCTCGCCAATTCCATCAACTATAACACATGCAAATAGCACATACTTCATCCGATATGCGAATGGTTAGTTCATCCGTAACTGAGTTAACTAATTACATAGTCCAAAAAAGTCAATCATGCAAAGACAGCTAGGGAAACTCCTTTTATCTCCAAAGTAACTGGTACATAGAAAGATCCATAAAGTAAAAATACCTCATCAAGTTTCCGTAACTCTCGGCTGTCCATTTCACGGTATCCTTCAGCAAGATCCTCTTCTATAGCTTCTTTCACCACAGCTGCAGCTACCTCCTTTGTTATATCGCGTATCCTGTGATGAAAATAGATCATTCACTATGTTAGCAACAATGCAAATCTGAAGCATATAGAGCAATAACATCTTAGTGATGCATTTCAAAATGTAAAATGATTTCTTTGAGACACAGAGAACTAGATCTAAGACGGCTGAGGAAGTCTGGAGCTTTGTATGACATATTTACTTATATTAAGAGGGTTTCACTGGGAATTTAGCAGATACTCGAGTTGGTCCCAACTTGAGAAAAGTTTCTTATTTGGTCTCCGACTAAAGAAATTCAGGTGCATTGTCTCTGAAATTGAATTTACTTATTTTTCTGAAATTCTATTTTTGTTTATCTTTTAGTGGAAAGCAACTTCTCAGTCAAACTGCGAAAATTTCTATTCCTCATCTATTTTTAGACGGCAGTAAGTATGACATATGAATTAATCTGTGAGTTCCCCGCAGTAAATGTTTGATTTTGCTGCTAGGAACTGATTGAGATGGAAAGAATAACAGCAGAGGCAAAACATATGAGCAGATTTTGCTCCCGTGTGTCTTTTTTAAATGTAAATGACAATCCACAACTACGTTCCAACAGTTATATAAAGGCGAGGGCATGAGACGATGTTTGTCTACCACGGGCGAGATGTAAGACCCACTGATATAAGCCCCAAGGTGTGATAATAAGTCCTGTGAATTTTGTTTTGTATTGGTTTTTAGTTGAATAAAGAAATAGGCACAGTTACTGACATTAGATATATTTTTTATAGTAAAAGGTAATCCTATTTTATTATTTCCGAGTTAAACTCAACAATATGATTTACTAGTCTCACAGTTACAATTTGTAGATCAAAGAAGCCACCCCCAGCCCCGCAAAAAACCTTTTTTTTTTTTTGTGGGGGGGGGGGGGGGGTATGCAAGTTGTCCCCTTGTAAACCTGTAAAATAAAGTTACCTAATACTCCTAAAGCATATACCTGGATATCGAAGGGTATATAATACCCTTGAGTACCTCCTCCTCTGTCATATATGCAGCCAAACTGTAAAATCCACACTGTACTTAGAAAATAGAAGTAGAAGCTATTCATGTGCTATGGATAAAAATAGACTTGGAAACTTCACAACAGCATCAAAAAAGGGAAGTACCACTCAGCTGCAGCCTGTAACATGCCATCTGAAACGATTCTAGATCCAGACAGAAGAGTACCAAGTCCTATTCTGAAGCATGTACGGAAGATATTGTTAGGAGGAAAGAAAGTCAATAGTAAAGAGAGTATAGAAGAGCTTAGACTAGCTATCTTAAACTTGGACATTTGGAGTCTAACCCAGGAAAAAGGAACATGTTGTTTGCTTGGTTGCAGTGTCCAACATGACCATTTCCTGCAAAATTCACATGCAGATAAAACAATTGTCAACCCAAATATTATTGAGTTATCTTGTATGCCTTCATCTATACCAAATAAGATATGAGAAAGTACTCACTAAAAGGATGGCAAGGTGCTAAACAAATTAGATATGAGAAGGTAGTCAACGAAAGGATGGCACGATGCTACACAAATTAGATATGAGAAAGTAGTCATCGGAAGGATGTCATGGCGCTACCAAATTAGATATGAAAAGTAGTCACTATCAATATGGCACGGTGCTACACAAACACTGACGGATATGGGATCGACACAAAATCAATCCTAGAAAGTCACTTCAATGTTCCACTGAATATGGGGTTCATACATATATTATTGGCCCTACTTCTGTTAACCATTGGCCAGCATATATGGGCCAGCAGCGGACGCTCATTGATTCTCTACCAAGCATAGAGGCTCTAATACCATGTGAGAAATATATGAGAGGAATATTATTGAATTGTTTTGCGTCTAAATTATTAGATGGAATCTCAATCTAAAGACAATGTAATACAATCCTTTACGAAATAGGAAACTATATATTAGTCCTATTCCTAACACTATTCCTATTCTTATTCTAAGTAGGATTCTATATTCCTATTTTTATTTTGACGGGTACCAAAAACCAAAAGTTACAAAAGACTGGTGGGAATATCCATACAGTCAATTCCAACATCTCCCTAACAGCTCCAAAAACTCCATATATTGTCCTTTTTTATTATAAACAGTCAACAATCATCACATAAAATGGAACGAGGGAGTATTACAATTTACATAAAATTACTATTTTGTAATTGCTATATATGTATAATACTTGCATACAAACCAGTACTCCAAAACTACTAACCAAAAGCAGAAAAGTATGAAAACTCTATCAAGACAGAGGAACTCAAAATACTGATAGCAGATTTTAGAACCAATTTGATACTCTACATACCAAGATCCACATCCTTGAATGGGCTTCCACTTGCAAATATAATGTTCTCCCCGAGAACAGAAAATGCTTCCTCAGGGGTGCATTCAGCTATTAATGAAGAAAAACAGTGAATGAGAATGCTATCAACCTCAAAACTTTGTATGTTCTCAATTAGTATATACCATTTCTCGTTGGGTTTGACATTGGAAAAATTGCAGGCCGGGTTGAAGTTGAATGCTTAAGGGCTTCCAGTACCTGATATATTCACATTTCACAATTTCTCAAAACCTTGTATGTTTTCGATTTGTATATACCATTCTCCTTTTCTTTCCCTTTGTAAGTAATGTTTAAAGCAGCTCCATGAATGCTTAGAAAGATATGGGAGGGAAATATTGTGCTCCAACTAAAGCACAATGTTTTCTATGTTAAACTTTAAAGAAGTAAGCTATTAATCAAAAATGAAATGATAATCCTTAAACTGACCTGATTTTCTCTTTTTTAGTTTCCAAAGGTCATCAAATACACAGAGAGAGAGATCGGTTTCAGCTAGAGATACATGGAATGTTTGATAATCATGAACACTTGCAAACAATTTTAAGCGAGGTACTTTTTTGTTAAGTAAATTTGGCAAACATTGTTAGATCATGATATAGATTGTAACAAAAATGCTAGTATCATGTTAAGTAAATTTGGAGAAGCAAAATCCAGAAAAAATGGCGGAGAACAGTTCCAGCATGTATCTGGTGTATTATATGGAAAGAAGGAATTAGAGAATTTTTGAAGGAAAGGAGTGTACAATACAGAAGATTCAAATGGAATGTAATTACTACTCTAGGTTTTTGGTGTAAAGACCAGGATATAGAAGAGGAGTTCCAATTAAGGAATTCATAGGTTCTCTGTAAGTATTTCTTTTTAAGTTTTTTCCTTTCTTGTAACAGTTTTTTGGGAGGTGGCCTGCATAGGCCCTTAATGCTGAGGAATACAAAAATTTACCAGTTTCAAGAAAAAGTAAATTTGGAGAAGCATGTTGCTTCTCATCAGTGGTAGAATGCTGAATCCTAAATCTCGCTAAAATTTATCACGCAAGATTTTATGTTCTCATGCAGTATATATCTATGTAGCTAAAAGAGATTCAAATTATCAATTTCTATATGCAATACCTCTTTTGAAAACAAGCCTCCACAAGCAGATAAACCAAGAAGTACATCTGGCTTCACTTCGCGTACCTGATTGGAATCAATACATTGTAATTTGTGTCATACTAATAGTACATGGCAAAGAACATATGGGATATTTCACTCATGAATCAATGCATTTCTTGGTATATAAGCTTCTATCTCTATACTCTCCATCTCATACCTAACTTTCTTTCTCTTCAGCTCTGTTATGGCTTCTCACAATGGAAAAGACAAGCCTTCCAGAAAACAGTTGATTGGCAACGTGATTCAAAGCTAATTTACAACCTCATAATTACCTACATTATCTCTATTTTGTAGATCTCTCTATTTTGTAGAATGCTTTCACACTTTTAGTTTATGGAAGATTTGCATCAAGATCTATGTTCTGTTTTTCATGTTGGACAAGTTCACAGCATCATTATTCAGGCAAACTGTCAAATCTAAAGATCTAATATATCTTGGCTGGCCTTATCAGAGTTAATCCATCATCATATTATTTCTGCTCATCTGAGCAATTAGTTTCCATTGCCCCACAAACATAATTAGTTGCATTTGAACACAACTGCAATTTCTTTTTCTTTTTTTTTTATAAGGAACACAACTGCAATTTCTTATTTTTGCCTCGGGCAACATTTCCTTGAGATTTCAAATGTTCATCTGATGGATGAAACAGACATTAAGTGAACATTTTCCTTTCATCTAAATTTACTTAACGTATATTCAGAGTAAGCAATCGAGAAATTATGAAAACTTTGAGTCCTAACTAAGATGAGACAGAGTGACAGATCATAAAAGCCCCGATTCTTCAATAAAAATGAGAAAGTCAGTTTTCACTCATGAAAGGATAAAGGTTAATTACCACTTCCGCAAGAGTTGCGCCTTCACTTAGACCTTGACGTTCAATCTCTTTGATCTTTCTGGCAAACGGGCGAGCATCAGGATCAACATTTTCACGTGCCTCAGTAATTAATCCCTAGGTACATTGTTAAACACCCATCAATAACTATGTCATAGTTAAACCCACCTAATACATTTCACTTCCCCAAATAATTTTATATCCACAGAGGAATATAGAAAAGCAAAAGAAGTCCAGACTAACATTTACAATATCATTAACTTTAACTTTATCAAAAAAAGAACATTTACAATATCATTATACTGTAGCCATTGGATCAGACTACTTCGACAATCTAAGCTAGAGAAGACAAAGAAACACATTAAATGCATTTAAGGCACTACCAAAGTCTAAATTGAAAACTGCTCACAGGCAACAAGCATGTCAGCACTTTTCAGGACCTTGCTTGTTGTGTTGACCTTATAATTACTGCGAAAAGAGGCTGATACTAAATATGATGTATAACCCTATAATTACTCACTATTCGTCAAATTTCTACATTGATAAGTGATATTCCACTCTGTTGCTGTATCTGTACTTTTTTCCCCATTTTTCTACACAATACCCAAACCACCATCAGATTTTTTACTTGTTCACAGGACTTAGCTCTCACTTAAATCTGTATGCATTGGGCTCTGGATCAGCATTGGCAAAGGTGTGCATAGAAAAGCACCAAGGATTGATAAGGTTCAAGTGCAAGGCATAATTCAAGCCTGACCATTAGTGAAGCATGACGTAAATGAAGAAACAAATGAAAATTATGTGAATGATGCAAAAAAAGTAGCAGTAAATACAAGAAACAACTAAATGAATATTTGTATTGAAAAAAATACCACTAAATGAAATATATGAAGTAAAATAATGTAGCCAAGCCCAAAATCATTTTAAACTTCTGATTCAAACACAAATTTGAAATCTTAAATTCATAATAGAGGATAAATGCTAGTTTTCTTATACTCACTTTGTCTCAATAATCTTTCTGTTTTAGTCTGTTTTAAAAGAATGCCACATTCTATGTTTAGTAACCATTTAATTCCAACATCTCATCTGGCATGTTTAAGAACACATATACAAAGGGCATTTTGGTACATTATATACATCTTTAGTTTAAAGACCACAAGATTTTAAAGTCTCGCTTACTTTCCTAAATTTCGTGCCTAGTCAAAGGAAGTAGTAAATTTATAACTTTGATTTATATAGTCAGTAACAAATTCATTCATTACATTCGCTAACAAAATATGTCCCTTTGTTGACAATATCCATTGTCTGATAAAATCATCTTTCAAAATAGAGCTTATGGGTGATAAGACGCCTCAAAGTAGCTTGGTGTCTTTACGCCCACACTGATGCACCTGCACCACCTAAACTAAGCAAAACATCCACCATGTGCTGCACATGCCTTCAAGACTTAGGCAAGAGTCTTAACACTGCAGGACAGGAGTTTGATAACAAAATACTAGCAATAGTGAAAACTATCATTTCTACCAATGGTTAGACAACATTTTCAAAAGTTAAATGCACTTACAAAGAACAAAAATTTTATGAAAACTATCATTTCTACTATTCGTAAAAAAGGATGATGATAACAGGATAAAAGGAAAGGTAAATATTCTCGAAGATAATTATGAACAGGTACTAACCCCGCAATAAGAAAAAGATAACAAGAATGTCATTGAAACAAGGAAAAAAAAATAACAAAAAAATGTCATACTGCTCGGTTGAAGCTTCAAGGAAAGTTCTGAGTCAAAAGGGTGTACGAGGGGATGCTTACCTTGGCATCAACCACCCAGAACTGACTTCTTGCACTTTCAAAAGCAACTTCAGTATTCCCTAACATTCTTGCCATTGTCTTCCTAGCAGCATTAAGAACCCCTATTCCTGCACTGTACAACCAAAAGATTTAAAATATAGAAACCTTAAAGATTTAGCGTAAATGCAAAAGGCTCAAAAAGTCTCTCATGCAGATAGCAAGAAATTTAAGATTTAAAAATAAGGAAAACAAGCCACTCAAGTCTCGTTTTCCAACTTCTCTATTCACTCTGCATGATAAAAATTATGTCCCAATCAAATGGCATTTCTTGCAGCCTACTACTAGGTAAAGTTTAAGGATGAGTATGGTAAGGAGGACCGAAATTAAAGATCAAGATAAAGAAACAATTTATTAAAGATGGTCAATTCATATCATAATTAAGTACTTTTAGTATATAGTGTGCGAAGTCAATCTACATAAAGTGAATCGGTCCTTAAAGAACCCCCAAACCACTGTCATCCGAGTAACGGTCCAGGTCCAACTGTCAAGGTAGTGTACGCTTTGGGCCTAAGCCCACATGGATTTATCCTATGGGCTTTAACCCAAAAGACGCCTCAAAAGTTGATTTTGAACTCATTCTTATAAAGTTCCTAACTTTTTCAACCATTCTGATGTAGGATTCGCCTAAGGTGTAATGTGCACCTAAACATCATAGGCTTGCCCTCTGTCTTGGGAAATTTGCTTTGACTACAGAACCATGCTTTTCTATCGGCGCGAATTGGATATTCGGGCCTAGTATGCCAAGTTCTTTAAGTCATAGCTCATAGAGATACACTTTCAAAAGTTACTAATGTCAAAACATTCATATTTCCGATTCATTAAATAAGAGCTAACATTAGGTTAGAATATAGTCCACAATGATATGTCCAAAAGGCAGGCATGGTCTTTCTGTTTATTCCTAAGAAGTAAAATGGACTCAAGTAAAACTGGAGGCAGAGCAAAGCCACGAATGCTAGCACTTCCAATGATTCTGACATCACATAGCAGGATGATATAGGTCTCAACCTGGATTTCCACCTAAAGGGTACATCTAGCAGTATATAATTTGGATCAACTTATAAACTCTAGAAAAGGAAGAAAGGATGAGATGTTTCAAATATTCCAACTAGTATCTTGGCTGCATAAAGAGCTCCTCAAAACAGATTTACACCTGGAGAACAAGGCACCTTAAGAAAGCTCTAAGATAACAAAAGGAGGAAAAGTCAGTGCACCAAATGTCTCAGATAGTATTCTACTCGTTTATTAGAGTGTTCCAGATTAAGACAATTTTCATTTCATGAGCTGGTTATTTTTTATTTATTTTTATGAAGATCATTTCAGAGCATGTTATTGTGGCTATGTTAGGCCCAATGTCCACTTTCTATAACATGGTATCAGAGCAGACTCATCCCTATTAGTTGACACAATATTGAGCTGCAAGTTCTGCTGTCCACATTCCAAATGATCTGCCCTAGGTGTACAAGAAGGTGTTAAGTTTTCCACTTGGTTGAGGGAATGGTGGTGGCCTCCTTATATGGTCTTGGTTAATCCTCACAACAAGAGCTAGCTTTAGGGCTCATTTGGTTGGGGAACAAGTTATCCACGATTGTTATCTCACCCTCAATGTGGAACAAAAATAACACTACAATCCCAGGATAAGTTATCCAGCGATTTTATCCCAACCAAACATGGGATAAACCCATCCTAAAATTAATTCCGGGGTTAGTCACCCCTTATCCCTCATACTAAATGAGCCCTTAGGGCTGAATTCAACCAAAGGTCCATTTTCTTTAACATAGTCAAACTCTCCATCCTCCCCACTTCCCGATGTATGTGTTAGTGTGTGTTCCCCCGCCCCTCAAATAACTCATACGAAATGGAGAGAAGCAATAATTCAACTCAACATGAGACCATATTCCTTTTAAGTATCACACCGACATCTTCTACCATAACTAACCATTCAACCAGTAATGCAAAGACTGAATAACCAAATCCACTATACTTAATCGAACACTATGTCTAGGATTGAGGGCAATGAGATATGAACAACAGGATAGGAGTGACTTGGAACATAGAAAGAATAGTACATTAATGCAATACAGAGAGAATGAAGCATATGAACAATGAAACAGTACTTGTATAATGGCATACTAATAACTCAAGTAAGAAATTATATGGTGCAGTGAGAGGAAAAGAACAGTTTACTAGTCTAACCTTCCAGCACCCGCCACCACAATCTTCATTTTTGGAAAATCAATCATTGGCCTTCCCTGTGCTCTTACTGCTCCCAGAAGACCAGCAATAGCAACTCCTGCAGTTCCCTGAGTAAAAAACAAAATTATATCATACTTGTAACACAAAACTTGGTTAAACAATGAAGAGCACAGAAACTTTAAGGAACTCCAGTAAGGAATTCTATCTGATCTGAAGATAAGAGCAGACGTGTATAAGAATGATATATTACGGCTCTAAATTTCAAGAGGAAATAAGAAAAATGACTTGAGAAAATCAGGATACTGGAAGCAAAAATGTCTCATTGAGAGTAAGAAACACCCATCACAAACAAAAAGGCCAATAATGTATCGAAGGATGGATACAATTTGTCATCTCAAGTTCTACAGTTCCTCCGTTTTCTGGCATCCAAGAACAAGCAAATGTTCTGGAAGTATGGCCATGTAAAGCAAACACGAATATCATAATTATTGAGTAAACTCTGCACTCTCTCTAAGAAACACGAGATGAGACACGTGGGGTGAATGCACATAATATTTTCTTTTCTTCACACAAGGTTTGCAGATACATAACAAGTAGATGCCTTGAATATTTTATAGATGTTTGTAGCAGCTTAATCTTTTGCTTCATTCGATTTTTGAGTAAATCAATATCCCTAATCCTAAGAATGTCAGTAAGTAAGGTCAACAACTTTTATTGTTCACCCCCATTTACAATTGTAATCACATTTTTCCAAACCCAAAATACTTTGGCAATGACTGATAAAGTTATTTACCTGGACATCATCATTAAACATTCTGTAGTTGTTTCTATAACGCTGCAACAGCTTAAAGGCCCACTTGCTTTGAAAATCTTCAAACTGTTAATTTAAGGGCAATACAGACATAGCGTGAAATTAGTTAGGAGAATGAAGAAAAGAGCTCAAATGAACCATGGGATGTACCTGCACAATCACATGGGGCCAACGAGTAAAAACAGCCTCCATAAATTCATCAATTACTTCAATATACTTCTCTCCGTCAAGCCGATGCTCTTGCAGTCCCAAATCTATGAGCATGAAAAAGGAATATCCTCAACTTCAGTAAAAATGAGAGAGATAACCTGAATGAATAGGCATTACTGGTAGCAAGCTAAATATGACCGAGTGACAATAGATATCAAAAAACGATCTAACACCTTCGAGATTTCGAAAGGTAGTAGGCAATAATAGCAATCATAATTATCAGGGATAACAATAGTTGCAATAAGAAATTTCCACAATCTACTGTATCCATATAGATAAACTTAAAGAGCATGAAAACAGGATGTTTGAATAAGTACTCAACAACAACAACAGCATACCAGTATAATCCCACGGGTAGGGTTCGGGGAGGATAGAATATACACTGGCTTTACCCCTACCTCATGGAGGTAGAGAAGCAAGTTCCAAAAAAACCCTCAGCTCAAATAACACATATCAAAGACAATAGAAAAGAAAAATACAGAATCAAAGAGGACATAGTAAATAATAAGGAAAGCATAGCATTCGTAGAGAAGGAATAACAACAGCCAAATAACGCGATAATCAAAGGACAAGGAACTACAAGAATAATGCTACTACTACTGGTAAGGAAGGAGAAACGGGACTAAGGAGGATATATCAGAAGCAAGTACATCTATACGCGATGACCAAAATTTTTAGCTCCTTTCAGAAGAAATGCTAAGCATCTGCCAGGCAAAGTTCATATGCGCTTGTATTTTGGAAGTTCCTTTCATAATACATGAGTTAGTGTAACTCCAAATGCCAGGTACACAACATAAAATCCCATTTAACCGCACACTTCAATGAGTAGTATGATCAAGCCTTCCTTTAAAATATTAAAAGCAACTGTGTTAATATACACCAATTCATTCAGGTAAACAAAGACGGATAAACAGGGATATATTCCAGAAACTAAAAAGAACATAATGTAGTAGTTAGTTTGTATTGATTTGATCATTGGAGAACTATATGTGAGTTAACATGAACCGTAAATCGTGACAAAGAATAAGTACTCACATAAAGGGTCTTTCAAGAGATTCTCGTTGTCAGTTCCAACATCAATCATTACAGGCAATACCTATTGAAAACAGAAAAAGGAATCATTAAATTTAAAAAGAATGCTAAAGACGAGAGTTTAGTACAAAAACATGTTTGTATGAGAAACTAAAAATGGCAAGAGAAACTATATCAGAAGGAATTACAGACATCTGATGCCTCACATCAGCAATCTCAGAAATAAGTGGATCCACTAAAAAGTAGCTGCTACAATAAGAGAACTATTAAAGACTGCTAATATTCACTAGATATAACACAATACTTCAATTTTAAAAGAATACAAGAACCATAATAGAAAGTTATAAAGTGCTTGACATAGTAACTTCATTTTCATTCATTTCCTAAAGCAAGCAAAGATATAAATGCTTCAAGAGTCACTGACAATTGCATCAACCCTTTTTAACAAACAAAACTTCTCAAATAAAGAGAAATAAAATCTCTTGACATACCAATACTTTATCTATTTCCTCTTTCCATCACTTCCCATAAGTAATTTTTTTCCCTTTTTCCCGTGTCCTTTTATTTGTTTTAGTGCTAACTACATGAAAGCAACTTTATTCATCTAGCAATATGAAGAGGCAACATGGACCAAAATTGATTTGTTTTAGTGCTTACTACATGAAAGCAAGCTTATTCATCAAGCAATATGAAATGGCAACATGAAGCAAGATTATACTCTTTGAGGGTTGATCCCAGCAGCAGCCACATACAAATCCAGCTTCCCAATTGCAATACCAATTCCCTGAACTCCGAGATCTCCAAGACCCAATATTCTACTTCCATCAGTTACAACAATCATGTCAACCTACATTGCAACTCCAGCTATGAAATGCACTTTCATTGTTGAGTGTTGATATATAAAATAACTTATCAGAAGAAAAAGAAGAAAGGCAGTTACGTACTAACATAATGGAGTAGTAGTAGAATTATCCATGCTAGTGAACAAGATCAAAGTCAAAAGATAGTTACTATAAAATAACTATCAGAAGAAAAATAAAAGCAGTTACGATCCAACATAATGGAGAAGCAGTAGAATCATCCATGCTAGTGAACAAGATGAAAGTCAAAAGGAAGAGTTAACTATCTCACAAGACCAATTACAACTCTAAGCTAGTGTTTGGCCATAAATTTCCAAATATTCTTGGCAAATATTATTTGGATGAAATTTCACCATGTGTTTGGCCATAGTATTTGGGAAATATATTTCACCTTTTTAGAAAAATATGATTTATACCCACAAGTTTTAAAAACTATCAAAACTAATCATAAGTTTGTATTACAAGTCAATTAGATCTTCGTTGCAACAATAATAAATAGTGTCCATGATGCTAGAGCAATGTGGTAGTTTGGAGTGAGCGAAACAAGCATTATTTCATACATCGTGAAGTAGATAAAACACATGACTTTGTTGCCCTGAGCCGATTGTTCATCACCTTCATCGACAACCACATCATCATTTAATATTCACTGAATATTTCATCACTATTTTAGTGTTCATGTAAAAAATATGTTATGAGAGTGTTTTTATAAAAGATAAAACTTTGGGGTAAAATTTCAATTTCCAAAAGATTCCCAATAATGAGATTTGGCCCAAATATTAGAAAAAACTAGTATTCGAAAATTTGGGATATTTGCGAAAAATATTTGCCAAATAATAGCAAGTTGTATGGACAAACACTATCTGCCAAATTTTTTTCCAAATAATATTTGGGAAATCTATGGCAAAATGGGCCCTAAGTGAATTTATCCTCCTTATCCTTTTTTCCCTTTTTGAGGGATGGGTGGGGCTGTAAAGGATAAGTCAATTGATAGTATTGCAATGAAACTGTATATATGTTCATTTTTCTTGATAAGAGCCACAAGATCTTCATTTTTCTCCATTTGTGTTGGCGGTAGGCTGTTTCGATGAAAAACTTCTATTTGACATATAATGTGTACCTAATATTATGCAAAAGCAAATCGATGTGCTGCATAGTGTTATGATCTACTCAATTTGACATGTTCTGTTCATCTAAAAATCAACTGTTGAGTAATTGCAGAGCACCAGCACGATTACTTCACTGTTTTCTTCAGCCCTTTTATAAGCGGAACTTCAAAACAATATGCATCTGTGTGTATCGAGGAAGATATTGAAGTACAAATGATCTGTACAAGGTAACTAAGAGAAGTTCACATCAATTTAGTAGGAAAGACCACAATATTCAAATGTCTTCCCAGTATAACAAGTGAAGCTTGATATATAGATTGGTTCACATATACACAAACCTGATCAGCTGGCCAGTTGTAAACCATTGACATCATTTCCCCACGATCTTCGGCACTGAAGTACATGCCCCTCGGACGTCTGAACAATCCACTGTACTTCTGGCAAACAAGACCAACTGTAGGAGTATACACTATGGGTGCATATTCCTCAATATTTTCCATTAGAACCTGCCACAGTAAGGAAAAACTCTCATCCATAGTTCCTCATACACAACTTTTTGATAACAAACCAATATAAGTTAACTTAATGTTGCTTCACCTAATAAATTGAATTAACGATGAATTATCTAACGTGATATATCAAATTTTGCTCATTAACTAATCATCTTTTATAATGGACATTAAGAATATGCCTAACCCGCACCTTTTGAAAACACAACGGAGCATAGTTGCAAAACTTCTTTTTTTATAAATATATGCAAACTTACTAGGTATGACAAGTTAAGTTTTCCCTTGTGCCTTCCTCCTTTTTGTCTTTCATATTAAAGCATGTTCACAACTTCGATTTTTAAAAATTGTCGGCAAAGAAACGTCTGCACCGTGAACAAAATAAGTTTTTTGGTTCTGAAAGCTTCAATGTCGTATTGGCGAGAAGTGATTAGACAGGACATGGCGCAAACACCGGCTTTCCGAGGACATGACCTTAGATTGGAAGTTATGGAGTAATGGAGGTCACGGGGTCACGGATTAGGGTAGAAAGTCATTTCCTAGCAGGATATAGAGGTGCACTCTATCTTTTTCCCGATATTTATTTTTTTACCAGAAGTAATAAGCATTTGTCTCATAGTTGGCCTATCTCACAACTTTTGTTACTCCTCGATTTTGTTATGCCCCTCTTTGGTATGTTAAGTTATGTTTTCCTTGTTAGTTTTTATGTCCACATTACTTCTATATTTTTCTATTAGCTGCTTTGGTGTTCGTTACTCTTACAAAGCGTCTTCCATGAACAGCCTAGTCGTAAGGTTTGAGTCCACTCTACCCTCTCTAAACCCCCTTTTTGGGAATTGGGACTATACTGGGAGGTTGTTGTTGTTGGTTCTGGGAACTTCAATGTCATGCCAAAAGTTCTATTACACTTTTTTTTTATGACAACTTCTATTACACTTTTTTAGAACACCAAATATGTACTTTGATTACTTCTTACTTAATTATGTTTTCCATATTCTTTCACAACAATTCTCATATGACTTATATCATATGTACTACTTGCCGCATGGGACAACATGCAACACATGTGTCCAAATAAGTATGAGGTTGAGGTAGGATGAAAGTTATTTTTCGTCTGTTTGTGATGTGCGTACATTACACATGTATGCAACCCACCAATATTGCCTTTAACCTACCTATAAATCACTAACCCTGCTCTCACTTTGACACCCTCCTTCTTCTCTCTCATTCTTTGGGTTTACAACGTGCCTTATCGTAATTCCTAAGGTACTCTTCTTTTCGATTTCATGTTATTTTCTTCTTTTTCTTGATATCACAAGTTCCTTCCTTTTGGGGAAATAAAAATTGGTTTTGGTCTGATTTTGTTACAGGTTCTTTATGCTAATTATTTCTGATGAATATTGGAAAATGGGTATTTTCCCTCTCTATCACTTATATTCTCTTACTAAATTATTATTCTTCTTCTAAAATGGCCCTGGCGAGGCACAAGGACTTAGAGAGCACAACAATCTTTATGCTAACCCTTTCTAAGAAATTGCCACCAAAGCACAGTAGGGGGTTCCTTTTTAATTCGATGCACCTTTTTTGTTGGTGATCACAATTTTGTTAAATGTGATGTTCTTTTTGGTGATTAATAAGCTTTTCCCTTTTTTTGGCAAATTGTTTTTTTCATTTCTGTTACATGTCAGAGATTTTATTTGATTTTTACTCATGCATGTTTAAAATAGACATCTTGATGTATGATTTTTAATAGTTTGCTAAAATTGTTTTCCCTCATCGATATTGATATAGTGACAAAATGTTTGATGATGTGCCTAACCTGAAAAAGAATTAGAGATAACATGACTAATTAGATTTAGTGGGGGAGAGAAATAAAATTAACCATCTTCCATTATTTCCAATTCCTAAGAAATTCTTTCCCGATCAAAATCAAACTCATTTACCCATCATTTCCTCCCCATCCTATTATTTTCTTAACTTTTTTTCTATACAAAGAACTTTAATGTTGCTTTTAGTTTCTATTTTCTATGAGCTCTTATATGAGCATTAAAAAATTATTGAAATCCAAACACCAGAGCTCGCCAGTCTTGGAGTAGCAGTGGAACTCGCAACGCAAGAGAAAGAGGCAAAAAAAGGAGGAGAGAGAGGAGGTGTGTTTGATTTTAATTTTTCTAATGAAAGGACAGAGAAGTCCCATTTTAAATGAGATGGTTAGGGTATTTTAGGTAAATGAAAAATGGGTGCATTGCTATATATATATATAAAGAGAGATAGAGAAAAAAAATAAAGGCTTCTATACAAAAGAGACAGAGACATATCCTACATAACCCATTAGAGGCCATATCTGAACAAAACCGAAGATCTTTGATGGCTTATGTAATTGGAAATGGTCCTGCTTGGATCCGATGCTTCGGGATTTTAAAAAATCATAAACAGATCTTAAAAAGGACACATGGGAGCTGAAAGACAAGAAATTCTTAAGAGCAAGTATTTTGTATTTCTTCGGCAACTGTCAATTCCAGGGTGAGGGAAAGAATGCCACACGTAGCTTGTAGCTTGTTGCTTTCTTTTTCTTTAGGGGGCGAGGTTTGCTATGCACTGGAATGGTAGTTACTAAAAAGAAGGTGGGTATTGTCACAGTGCAAGAGACATGTCCGACTGAGATTTGCAAACCTAGGCACTTTAAGGGTCGTTTAGTTCACATACTAGATATGCGGGTCTTACGTAGGGATTGTGTATGCAGGAAATAATAATGAAGGAATTATTATAAGGTGAATAATAAGACAGAGGTTGTTATGTGATGAAAAGTAAGTATCCCATGAAATTAGTTGAGGTGCACGCGAGTGGACCAAACACCACGGTTATTAAAAATAATAATAATAATAATAATAATGATAATAATACATGAACAGTGATAAAGGGATTACTTATTTTAAGGGTACTTCTGTCTTAAAATACTTTTATCTCCACAATGCTAATAAATGTACTTTTATTTCATATTGGCACATAAAATAATACATAGATTCCCGCGTAATTCAATGTTCTTATCATGAAATACCGCCAATTAAGTGTCGCATTAGTTATGAGGGAATGATTTTTACTATGACCAACCAAAGACTGCATTAAATATGTGTGGATTACTTTCGAAATTTCTCCAACCAAGCATTGTAAATTTTATACAGAAATTTATATTGGAATTATTTTTCCTAATCCCTCCAACAAAAGACCCCTAAATGTTATCATAGAGCGCCACAAGACAACGTAGTGCTGTTGAAAGACATGTTCAATCACTCACCTTGTAGTACAAAGTCTCATTTCTATCGTGCAAGCGATTAAGTATGCGCCACTTGGCCAAAACATATGGGTCAGATGGACCATCTCTAGCTTGTACTTCAAGCCGCTTCAAGTCAGCCACTGTTACATGCAGAAAAAGGTTTAAAATTGGCAATGTAAGTAAATGAACTTACAAAAACGCACTTATTGGGGGGGGGGGGGGGGGGGTTGCCTACTCTGAGTTTGTTGCTATAAGGATTCAAATTTCAGGAAAGAATTGTTGAGCTTTAACAATTCAATTTTTGAAAATTAAAAAAAAAAAACTGTAAATGGATCCATTACTTGGAATTGAGAAGGGGAGAAAGTATATTCCGCTAATAAAAGTGAGAAACTATCGAGGCATATTAGAAGAAACAAAAAGACAGAAATATCCACTGTTAAAATCCACATAATCCTAAAAATCTCCAATTGTGAAGAAAACTACAAATTTCATCTCAAACTCAAAAAAATGAATACTAAAAGGTTGCGAGAAAGTTTCTATTCATTACAACACTCAGATTCTAAAGTGTCATAGATTTTGACTTTGAAGATAGCCCAAATTTGATAGCAATTAAATTGTGGATAGGGACTTACTGAACCGTGCAATTTGTTGTTCAAAAGACATCACGTTTGGAGGCAGTAGGCCACGAATGTGAAGACGATCACGTTCTGTAAATGAGAATGCTGTTCCCTAAAATTTATACATATATGAATCTTGACTTCAGTATTTTCCAGTGTTCACATGTTCACAATATGAAATAGTTTAATGCAAGAAAATGCGTATCGCACAATGCTTACCAGCACGAGTGATCAGGATAGGTTGCATTATCCACATTTCTATACACAATTTTGCCAGTTAATACTCCAATTCAAGCACATAAAGACAGAAGATGAATTGTTTAAAATGAAACATACTGATGAAGGGCGTAATGCTACAGTCTCCTTATATCTTCTTCAACAATCAACCTCTCAAGAGCTAGCTTTCCAGATATAGTTAGGCACAAGGCCTATTTCTTCACATAATTCAATCAAAAAATACGAAACTAGGAACGCATTTTGGTGGTACTGAAGACAAAAACAAGATGTTTTCATAATATGGACTATTCGTTGAGGATTGGATATCAAGCTCATCAATTACAGACAGCTAAACTCCATACCTTTTTGAGGTAGTGAACCAAAACTCGCCTTTAGTTTAATCTTTGTGAGTAGACTGTAACTTAAGATGTAAACTTTTATATCTCATTCTTTTCGTATCATTGTCTATTTTAGGACCTTATGACGAAACAAATACCCCAGACCCCACTTGTGGAATTATACTTGTGGGATTATACTGAGTATGTTTTAGTGGTATGACGAAGCAAATTATTAGTACAAGACATTATCTAATGGTCTCTACATCCTTGAAGATTGGTGGTCTCGATATGTTGCATGTTCTAAAGTCATGTCTCCATTTTAAGCAGATAGTTGGTTGGAACATCCTTTTTTGATAAAGGTCGGTTGGAACATCCATCTGTCTACTTTTAAGAAGCTTCGACCTATTGTTTCATAGTATCTCTTCATTGGAATGTGAGTTGTGTCAGTGCAAAATATCACCATAGCTCGATAGGTCCTAGAGTTAATAAACGAAGAGAGTGTTTTGGCTTAGCTCATTTTGATATGACCATGTCATGTTGTGTCCAAACTCCAAAATTGGTTCAAGTATTTTCTAACCTTTGTGGGTGATTTTTTATCAAATGACTTGGGGTTACTTTATGAAAAAATTATCTCAAGTATATTCCCAATTTTTGTGCTTTTTGTGTTGAAGTTAAATCCCAATTTAATACTATTGTGCACATACTAAAGAGTGAGAGTATATGTCAGAATCATTTAAGTTCGACATGAGACAACACGTGATACTCCACCAATCATCTCGTGTTGATACACCCTCTCAAATCGGAAATGTTGAACCTGAAATAGCCTTTGCATGAGACAACTGGCACTTCCACTCCAAACAAAGGTTCCTAAATAGTTTTGGGTTGATGCAGTCTTTAAGACTTGTTTAATTGATCTCATGCCATCTACCAAGCTTACTCATGGCGAGGAGCATGGCAACTGCCCAGTGAGTTGAGCAAACTTAATAACATTATAAAGAACTTCAGGACATTAATTATGGCTACCCAAACAATACATATGGTATTAGAGACAAGACTCATTGATTCATGCTGTTGTGCAATTCAATGTTGGATTCCCGTGTTTACGTTATCCACGCTTCAGTTGTCCGGTCCTTGGGCGTGCAGGGGAAGGGGGAGGATGGGAAATTAAGTCTCACATGGTTAGGGCAATGGACAGTTGTCTCCTTATAGCATCTTAAACAATCCACCCTCAAGAGCTAGCTTTCGGGATTGAGTTAAACACAAGGTCCATTTTTTCACATACATTAATCAAAAACTACGAAACCAGGAATGGATTTTGTTGGCGGAAAATTTCACAATATGGACTACTCCCTGAGGATTGGATATCACTCTCAACAAATACAGATAGCTAAAGTTTATACCTTGCTGGAATAGTGTACTTTTAGTTCAATAGTCGAAAGTCAGTAAGCTACAACAACTGCCCCCTGCCCTGACGTGAATTCACCGGCCTCCTTTAATCTATTATATATTTATTGAGGGTTCGAATAGATTGCATAAACAAACACCAGGGCAGCACGAATTATCTTACTATTGGTTCCTGTTTCATCACTTTCATATTGATTTCAGGATTTAATTATTCTTATAATTAACCCAAAGTAGACCTCACGTTCCTAAATTTTCATTCACTAGTGCATAGAGGAATTCCACTCTGTAGTGCACAACTATAATTAACAATTAGCACGAGTCCAACGGAATAACTGAGTGATCGAGGCATAGCACAGGAAGTCCCAATTTGAGTCCCAACTACAACATTCCGTGTGTGCTCATCTAATCCAACCTTGTTGAGCAAAATTGCTCAGTACATGTGTTTCTATGTTAAAGCAAGTTGCCCATAGATCAGTTTAGCTGCACATAAACTGCTCCCTCATAAAACGAGAATGAATAATAGCAATTCTGCGGATCATAGAACTCCAATATCAAATAAATTTGCTTAACAAAAGAGATCACAAATTTCCAATAACAAAAAAAATCTTTCTTTTCTAAATTGAGGGGTTCGGAGGTGAAATGGGACCTCACATAGCCAACCAACTGAGAGCTACTAAAATTACCCAGTAACAAAAAAAAAAACTGACAAAGCAAAAGAACATATTTTACTGATCTATCCACAATTCATTTTTACACAACCAAATACTGAGAATATCAATTAAGTACACAACGATTTGGTGAATTCACCTTCAAAAAAAAACATGAAAATTGAATTACCTTGTTAAACCATGGATCGTGAAGAATATCAAGACTACGCTTATGAACAATAGTAGGACGATGACCTTCCGTTGTAGTAAAATTTCTTGAAGAAGATGAATTCACAGCAGCAGCAACTCTTTGATGTAAACGCCTCAGAATAGTTGAGGAAAGTCGCATTTGATTGGAAAAATTCGCCATTTTTCTGGATCGAAGAGAAACAGTGAAGAATGAAGATCAAGCGAAAGTGAAACTTGTTAATAAACCCAATAAATAAATAATCACGATATTCGATGTAGAGTTTTCACAGTGTTCAGTGGCCGGAAAAGCTTAAACGAGTGGTAATTGGTTAATTCCTTGCATTTTTGTGACTAATTTTGTCGGCTGAATTCCATTGACAAAAGAATGTAAAAATCGAGCGTGTTTAGACCCGGCTCATTTATGACACAATTATATGTTCACCGTCGTAAAGTCTTAATTAGATGTCTCGTGTTATGATTCTTGTCGAAACATAAAATTATGATAATAAATTTCAAAAGAGATTGTATATGCCTTTTTATTATGTATTAATATATTTATTTACATTAATTATTTTTGGGATTTTCTGTTCAACGCTCGAGTTGGAGAGGGGAGTTTAGAAAATTTTGAACCTTTCAAATATCATTCTTACTAGGAAGGATTTTAGTTGAGCGAAATGTTGAAGGCAAATAAATTTTTGATACTATTTGAACTTCTCCTAGTCTATTATCTTCTTTTTTTTTATTTGAATTCCTACATTTTCTTTTTTGATTTGTAAGTCTAAGATGACCTTTTCTATCTCGAGACAGTTATGACAAATATAGAGCTTGCTTTGACCTACAAAAGGAGCGGAGTTATCATTTTGCATTTAGTTAAATATCCATTCATGGCATGGTGACTATTTCTATTAGTTAAATCGAAAAACACAATTCATAGATAATTTTGGTAATTCGTGCAATAGATTATAGATATCAAGTTGAGCTTATCACATCTCTTAATCCATAGATGGATGGACCGTCCAAATGAATTATTATATAAAAATATAATTACACAAGAAGGACTTTCGTTCAATTTAATTACAAAAAATATAGATAGTTGTCGTTGTCGTTCTTATGCTTTGTGCTCCACCTTCTCATTCTTTTTCTTAATTTTTATTCTGTTTTTGCCTCCTTATCTTCTTTTTATTCTCCTTCTTTATTTTTTTAAAAAAAATATATATACTGCAAATGTGAATTGTTTTAAGCAAATTAATATCAAAAGACTCTAAACAAGGATAGGAAATCATATTTAAAATTCATGACTATTTAGAGGTGATTTTAAATTGATCGTAATTGTATAGTCAGTGCATACTTCAAATATAATCAGTGAATACTTCATATAAGTTATTTTTAGCTTTTTGAGTGTATCGCTGTTTATAGTTTTTGTATAGGTAAGCTACATTTTTTAGTCAGTGTATACTTACTAGTTACATCTATGACTTTGAGTAAACTAGATTGTATTGCAAGTGTATTGTCACGGACTTAGAGTATTTGCTAAGACTCCTTGCGACCCTTGACGACTTACTCACTAATCTTTCAAGATCTTGTAAGTTCAAGGTTAAGACTCGAAACGCTAAGAGAATGCTTTGAAAAACTTAGAAAGAACAAGAAAGAGAGCTTTGAAGAAGGCTTTTGTATTGCTTTGGAAGATTGCTTTACAACTTGCTCGATGTCTTTGCAAATGAGGGGCACCTCTATTTATACTACTTCCTAGGGACTAGGGTGCAATTAATATTTACTTTACAAATCCTTAAAATATTTACACTTTGGTCCCCTTTCTAGAGAATTCTACACTACTTTAGGACTTTCCCTAGCCTTCTTGAGTCTTCCAAAAGTTTCTAGAGTTCTCTGCACAACTCTAGAATGTTCTGCCCCTATCCAAATGCGGAATCAGGCTGGAATTGTGGCGGGACGTCACATGATCCCCCACCTGATGATGCAACAACCGCGGCGCATTGCTGCAGAAACTTCTGGACTTTGTCTTTGAATTGCCACAAGTCTTCATATTTCTCCCATGTGGCCTCTTCTGGAGTTTGTCCCTCTCCAATGCACAAGGAACATGGCGCTGGCTTGTTGTCCTCGCTTCCGTTTGGCTTGATAATTTATGAAAGCCTCAATCTCTCGGTCATGCGAGGCGGTGACAGTAATAGGTGCCCGTTGTGATTGGTTCCGACTAGGATCCTCCTTGTCCTCATGGTACAGCTTAAGGACGCTCGCATGAAACACCGGATGGATCTTAAAGTGTGGAGGTAACTCCAACTAGTATGAAATCTTGGCCACTTTGGCGATGATCTTGAATGGACCCTTATATTTGCGCACCAAGTTTTGATGGACGATCGGTTCTCGCTAGGATCCTCCTTGTCCTCATGGTATGACTTGAGGATGCTCGCATGAAACACCGGATGGATCTTAAATTCTAGAGGTAACTCCAACTTGTACTAAATCTTGCCCACCTTGGCAACGATCTTGAACGGACCCTCATATTTGCGCACTAAGTTTTGATGGACGCCCCTTAGTGCCTTGAATTGTCTCGGATTGAATTTTATCAAGACCATGTCGCCTTCTTTGTAATCCGGGGGATGACGCTTTCGGTTGGCAAAATTTTTCATCTTTTTATGCGCACTTACATAGTGCCTTAGATAGCACTCCAATAGAAGGTTGACGCGTTCAGTCTGGCCATCGATCTACGGGTGGAAACTTGTGGAGATGTGAAGCTCCGTGCCAAGTATCTTGAACAATTCTCTCCAAAATATCCCGATAAATCGAGGGTCTCAGTTGTTGATGATATGTCTCGGCAGCCCCTAGTATTTCACCACGTTCTTAAAGAATAATAGAGCAGCTTCCTTTGCGGTGCAACCGGCTGTGGCGGGCATGAAGGTAGCATACTTTTAAAACCTGTCCACCATGACCATGATTGTACCAAACCCGCCGGACTTCCGCAAGGAAGTGATGAAGTCTATAGTCACGCTAACCCATGGGCGTTCTACTACAGGTAGTGCTGTTGGCACACAAGATAAGTCTGCACATAACATTCGGTATCATCCTGCATGGCATGGCCAGAAATTAATAGCCTCGATCAGTGCCCTCGTACGTCGCTGCCCTGGATTCCCCGTCCACAGTGTATTGTGGCTTTTCTTAATTATACTCCGCCTGATAGACCCAGTACATAGACCCTTCGACCGATGATAAGTAAAAGGCCATCTTCTACCCAAAAGCATTTGCTTTGCCTTGGACGCTAATTCCATCAGCTTCTTGGCCTCTGGATCGTGGTGTATACAATCCTTGATTGCCTTTTAAATGTCACAGCGAGTTGTAGTAATGGTAGCAAGCTCAGCCTTCTTGCTTAGTGCATCGGCCACGACATTGCCTCTTCTTGGCTTGTACTCCAATACGTAGTCAAACTCAGCCAGAAAATCTTGACATCTAGCTTGCTTCGGGGTAATCTTCTTTTGTGATTGGAAGTAGCTAGTGGCCACGTTGTCGGTCTTGACTAGGAATTTGGATCCTAGTAAGAAGTGTCTCCAAGTTCGTAGACAATGCACAATGGCGGTCTTCTCTTTCTCTTGCACCGTGTCCCGTTGTTCTGCCTCGTTTAGTTTGTGGCTCTCGAATGCTATTGGGTGTCTATCTTGCATTAAGACTCCCCCAATGGCAAAGTCTGAGGCATCCATATGTATTTTGAAGGTCTTGTACAAGTCGGGCAACGTCAAGACCGACTCTTTCGTCACTGCGGCCTTGAGACCTTCGAAAGCTCTTTGGCACTCCTCGCTCCAAACCCACGTTTATTCTTCTCTAACAACTCGGTCAGCGGAGCGGCTTTAGCAGAGTAGCCACCGATGAACCTGCGGTAGTAGTTCGCAAGTCCAAGGAAGGATCGCAGCTCAGTCACCTTCGTGGACGCCTCCCGCTCCTGGATCGCCCAAATCTTTGCCTGGTCCATCCGTAGTTCGCCCTGATTGATAACATGGCCTAAGAAGTTCACCTCGTGCTGGGCGAACTTACACTGCTCCCGCTTGACATAGAGTTGGTTCTTCCGTAAGACTTGGAAGACTTTTCTCAAATGTTTCATGTGCTTCTCCAATGTGCTGCTATAGATGACTATGTCATCCAAATACACTACCATGAACTGATCCAAGTAGGGATGAAATATCTTGTTCATCAGCGTGCAAAAGGTGACAGGTGCATTGGTTAAGCCAAAGGCATTACCAATCATTCGTATGTTCCATATCTATTCATGCACGCTGTCTTTGGCTCATCCCCCTCCGGGATGCACACTTAGTAGTAGCCTTTTCAAAGATCCATCTTGATAAAGTACTTGGCCTACCCAAGTTGATCAAACAAGTCTGCAATTAGCGGGATAGGATATTTGTTCTTAATCGTGACCTTATTTAGCGCTTGATAATCGATGCATAAGCGCAACAACCCGTCTTTCTTCTTCTGGAATAGCATTGGCGCGCCATAAGGTGCCTTGGATGGACGGATGTGATCGGCTTCCAGGAGCTCCTTTAGCTGCTTCCTTAGCTCCTCTAACTCGGGTGGAGCCATATGGTAAGGTGCATGTGCAGGTGGCTAGGCTCCGACCTCCAACTCTATCTTGTAATCTACCTCGCGCCTCAGAGGTACAATCTTCGGTAGCTCATCCGGTATCACGTCCTTGTTTTCTTCAAGGACTTTCTCTATGATCAGTGGCAAGGACTCCATAGTACCATTGTCTTCTCTCGAACTTGCAATGGTGGCTAGGAACGTCAATTCTCCTTTCTTTAGGCCTTTCATAATCTGCATGGCCGATAAGTGGGCATGTCCTTCCTTCTTTGGCAACTTGACTAGAGGTACTATGCATGACCCTTCCCGCTCTATGACCATGAGTCGTTAGAGGTAGGGGTCGATCATCATGTGGCAGCATTGGAAGAACTCTTGCCCAATGATGATATCAAATATATCTAGAAGAGCAATGGTAAAGTTCATCTTTCCTTGCCACTTCCCCAACGTGATGCTTACTCCTTAGGTGACCCCGCACAGGGGAATCGGTGGGGCGTTGGCAGTCTTGAGGGGGTATTTCTTGGCACATAGTTCAGCCCATGATGTTTTCTTCAGCGCCAAAGTCTATCGTGACACGAGCTGCTCGTCCATTTATGGAGATGTCTACATACTGCGTGCTGAAGTCTCCTGGCTTCTCGGTTTTCTTGGCTATCGCACCGCATAATTTAACCATGCCTAACTGCGTCCTGCCCGTGTCCTTCCCTTGATCTTGTGCGTCCTTCTCCTTCCGTTCATGTAGGATGGCACCAAGGTTTTTCATCTTGGGGCACCTGGCATAGCCGTGCGGTCCACCGCATATGTAGCATCCATCTCCTTTGTTGGTCTGCACTCGCTTCTC